TTGGTACCTGAAAGCATTGTTTCTCAAATTCCACTTCATGCAAACGTTACAAATTCTTAACTTGGGTACATTATTTTGAAACTTTTTAATACACTAATATTAATACAAAGTTAACAGTAAACCAATTAATAGTAGATCAAAATGGAACTGAAATAAGAATATGAGAAAATACAAAATAAGTGAAATTTTTTCACGACAACCTCCAGTACAATAATGCTTCATCTGAAAACAAATTAAAACAAGTATTGCATTTGAAAGTTGATCAATAGCAGAAGTTTTCACTAGTATTCCACAACAAACTGTCCACCTAAAGATGGTTAAGCTGGAGTTCTTTTCAATGGAAAGGCATGAAGCAAAACAAGTAAATATGCAACCAGAAGATTCTTTCATGTATACAGCAAAATCTTGAATTGAGGATTACGAAGCTATGAGATTCACCCTTTTGCAGTTCCAGCCAGAACCCTATATTAAGCAATGTATAAATTTTCACCAGCATACTGTTTTACCCCTATTTAGTGAATGAAAATCTAATCCCTACAAGAATTGTGTACCTCAATTTAGAATCAAATTTACCCAAATGGAAGATCATGTTTTATTCCTGTATTTTCAGAGCTAAATAATGAAATGTTGCACTCTGTCTAAGACCGCCTGTATTTAAATAACTTTTAGAGGAATACTGTCTCTAAGGTTCATTAAATGCCAAAATTCATGCCAATTGTGCTGTTAGCACAGGAAGTAAGAAATGTTTCTAGGTCAACAGCCATCAATTAGAGAAAATTTGCTGAATAACCACAGAAGCTATTAATCAGATGTGATTCCCACAAAGGAATATTACAGCAAATTTGTGAAGATGGGATTGGTAAGATAGAAAACATGAGAAAGATGAAGCTGACTTAATGTATAATGTAAGACAAGATAAAGTTGTCCCTGCACTTAACTAATTAAGCACAATGCCATGAAGATATATACAGGAGTGGACGTACAGATCCACGTTTTCTTGACCTCAGCACTAGTTGGAGGTGAGTGGTCAGCTTCATGCCTCCACTGCTTTACCCTTGGGGTAAAAGCCTCCGATGCCCATTGGATAGGAAGCTGGGTGGGCCCCAGAGCTGGTCTGATGACATGGAGAAGAGAAAATTCTTGACCCAACAAGGACTCAGAACTCCAGCCCATAGCCAGTCACTATACCGACTGCACTATCCCAGCACCTTGACTTAATCTATAACATGTTTTAAAATATTTAGTATCTTTCCTGTTTGCCTGTAATAAATGACTGAAATTAATACAAACATGCATTTTACATGCATGTGTTTGTTAGTGGCAATGCTCTTCCATTCAGGTAAACATGGTATTTATGCACCATTCTTTTTTGCTCAAAAAGATCCTGAAGTGTGTAATTTTACTGACCATGAGTGGAGGTAATGCCAGTGTAAAAGCGTAGGGCTGACAACCTTGCAGTCTAGAAAATGTGGAAACCTCAACATCTCACAACCCTATGGGCCTCCACAGCCTGTTACAGGGTATCTTTACTTACCAGGGTTACAGGTCTTCTGCTAACTCAGGGTAGCTACACAGGTAATTTCATTGTCACTTGTACAAACGCTGAATTTGGAAAACTCGTACATGGTGTAGAAATTTGTTTGAAATGACTTAACTGCATAAAAGCTGTACATATATTGTGGCATGTTATGCAATGGAGGACACCCCTCCCTCCTCAGCGGTACATGGCGGCATCGTAGCGATGCTGTCACTATGGTAATAGGCAAGTCAACACCCCGCCCCTCTCCCCGTGGTGACGTAACACGCAACCCCGCAATTGCTACGTACCCGTAAACAACTCCCAACAGCGTTGCTACGTAACAGGCAAACACTGTGACTATATAAGGGAACCACACAGCCGCCGAAGACAGTTCTCCAGTCAGCAGTGAACGAGTTAAGTGCATCAGTCGCCGAAGTGAGTTCTCCAGTCAGCAGCTGGAAGTAAGTGTGTGATCAGGAGCGACAGTTGGAGTATAGCAGCAGTCGCGAAAAGAAGAACCAGACACATGTGTACTTGTGTAATTGGGAGTGTGTAATACAGAGAGACTTGTATCGCTCCCGTACTGTGAATATGTGTAGACTACTGAAGATAGAGTGAACAGATTATTGCAAATAGGGTTATAAAGTGTAAAACCCCGCAGTGTGAAAAGATTATTGCGAATATGGTTATAAAGTGTGAAACCCCGCAACATTGTTGTAATTAATTGTAGCCGAGACTGGTAGGTTGTTAAATAAATCAATTAACAATCCGAACGGCGTCTTCAGTAACTAAAACACGTCACAATATTTTAGACATACTGTTACAATTTGAACATGGGCACAAAATGAAGATGACCTACTGTAACAATTCCTATCCAATTTGGTATGTCTCAAGTATTTTCTGTTGTTTTTAGACTTATATAACATGTGTCCACTTTTCGTAGATTAAAGCAGATATTTATAATTAACAATGGAGCGTAATTTTCTGTTTAAATTCCTTATCAGCCCATTTAAGACTTTTCTGGATTTAAGGTACAGAAATATTGTCCTAAAGGGAAAACTTAACACTTTGTGGACCGGTGGCATATTTTTATGCCCAGCGCTTTTAAACATGGCAGCCCGGTGGCATATTATCATGATTTTAGGACACATTATGTTGAAACACACCATACCTTTCTCTGGCGCCACCCAAATGAAATGACTACTGCGTATTATTATTCCGGAATGTTTGCTTAGTAGGCAGTAACTTGATCTCGCTGTTTGGGTTCCCCCTCCAAAGGAAAATGATCTTTGACCCTTCAAGCTCTTATGTACCAAGCAGGAAGTTAATAGTGCAGTGAGTCAAGGACAGAAGCAGTTGAAACCTAAGCAATATCTGACTTGTTCTCCGACTGGAGCTATCTGACGTGACGTTCCTTGTGAGATGTATAGTGATAGTGATTTAGACAGTGGCAGTGACAGAGGACAACAAACAAACAATTGTGGCCACAGTCAATAAAAGTGAAAGCAGCTCCAAGGAAAGTGCAGGTAGTAAAATTGCAGGGACAGCTACATGGGGAAAAGTAGACAAAACGCCTACTTTGGGACAGTTTACTGGAAATCCAGGGGTGAAACAAATTCCATTGGATCCAACGCAAGCGTCTGAAGTAGCAGAACTGTTTCTTGGAGATAGGGATACTCGTGTTGTGAATATGATTTCCACAAGTAGTTACTATAGAATTCTGACGATGGTGTATAACACATAGAGATACTGGGTTTTCGGATTTGTTTCTGAAACGTCATGTTTTTCTTAGTTATCTTAAAACCAGGATGATGGATAAAGTCCAAAAACCCAGTATCTCTGTATGATTTCCACAATTTACAATTTGAGCATGGTTGATGTTCAAAGGAGACATGGACCAGTATAGAAGCCTATTTGTATTTCTGAGTATAATATGTTCATGAAGGGAGTTGATATAGAGCCGATCAATACTTGGCCTATTATTCTCTTCCTAGGAAAATAATAAAGTGGACAAAGAAAGTTGCCTTGTGACTTATAAATTGTGCCATTTTCAATTCATTTTTGGTTTACAAAAATCTAAAACCCTGATTCGAAATTGAAATACAAAACATTTCTGATGAATGTGGCAAAGGCCTGGGCTACAGACCAGATGGTGGCGGCAGAACCAGAGTCAGGAACATACTTAGTGCAACCAGGCCCATCAAAGCCCCACCCCATGCAATCCTCATGTGGACACCCCTGGGCAACTCTCAGGTGATATCAGAAATACACCCTCCTGAATATTGTGAAGAGTGAACATTCCAAGGGGAAGCATCATTCTAGGCAGTGCTGTGTTTGCACAGTTCACAAAAAAAGGAGTATGACTGTCTACATTGCAAGTTCTGTGTAATGCCACTTCACAATGGGGAATGTTTCCAGAAATATCACACTCTCAAGAACTTCTAGAAGCATTGGTAAGTGTTCTCCAAAAATTTTAGTTCATAAAATTAATTTAGGAAATTTTATATTAATTTTTAACGTGAACAGTGCACAAGTTAGGGTACTAGGTTTGAAAATGCCGGCCCCCAGGGTGATTTAGATATTTAAATTGCCGGTCCGCAGTGTTAAATGGGCATTTCACTTGAGTGCCTTCCGACAGTTAAAAGACCAAAGAACTTTAGCTAAAGACATTTAGCTGCAGAAGTACTCATTAACAGAATATACTATCAGGAATATTTGCCAGCTATATTTTAAAGGCTGGAAAATATTCCTGATCTCCCAGAAAATCATGCAAACATTCAGCAAATCAGTAGGAGGAGTAAAGTTATTGGGTTACTGGCCAACAATAAAAAATAAGGGCATGAGCTCCACATAAGTGTACCTACCTCCTCAACCTTTTCAACAAAACAGATTAAAATTAATTAAAAAAAAAATAAAAATTAAAACTTCTAAAATACTGCAAGTTCCATAACCAGGGTGATCAATTAGTGAAAGAGATGCACAATGTTTAGATCCCAAGTCTAATGTCATGTTTCTTGGATAAAGAAAGACTGTATACTTATAATGTTTATAACTGAGTGCTTGAATGAATCTACCATTCAAATTGTACTTGAAAGCAAACATTCTGGTAAAATACTTTTTTATGAGGCAATTACAGGAATGTTACTTATGAAACATGTTCTGTAAATGGGAGCTCTCAATGTATGTAACTGCAATATATATGCTGGAAAGATTTGTCATTAGAACAGCACTTTTGTACTAAGATTTGTCATTAAAACAATACTTTTGTACAACAATTGAACTTCATCTAATACGGTACTCTTTTCTTCCCTTACACATGGCCACTAAAATCCTCAACATTGTTAATGGTTAAATTATAAAAAATATTCAATTTAACAGCATTTTTCTAAAATAAAACTTTGCTGACATGTAATGAACCACTTCACAGCAAATAGATGACAGAAGGCATAAGGGAACTCTACAATTAAGATGAAATAATTATTTTTCAATTATGCAAGCCACAAATAAAAAAGTGGCCACAAAACCAATGAATTTATCAGAATCATCTTGTCAATGGATTCTTGTAGTTATATATATGAAAATGTAGTCCTTCATTCTGCTACTGTATGGACTGAAAGTTTGAATGTTTTGAAATGCAATATGAGCTATATGTAAGCCAGTAACTTTGGCTGTGCTACTAGTCACCTCCACTTCTCATATCTTGATATGATGCACTATTGAACAATTAAAAATAATGTTCTGTAATAAAGTAATACAGTCCAAAAGATTAAAAATATGCAGAAAATGACCTCATGCCCCCACAGGCAATAAGAAATCCCCCTGCAAAGTAAACATATCAGCTTTCTCAATATCCATCACAATAACAAAATTTCTCCGAAATTTCCAAACAAGAAGACAAAAACTGTCACTTGTGTCATAATAATTATTATTAATTAATTAATTATAATTTAAAAACTTGTAAAATGTACCATTCCACAATGCCACTTGATTAGCCTTTGCTGTCATGCTGCATGAGCAGGCTGACAAGTAATCATGAAGTATGTTCAGTTTGTCAGCTTCAGCTGCTAACAGAAATAGGACGTATCAGTAGCGTGTCCAATGCATGCTGAACATAGTGAACACCCAAATATGTGAAATCTGATAACAAATCCAAAACTTGCTGGTGTTCACAAATGCTATCACAGAATGTCACTTTCTTGGGGCTAAAGTTCAATTTTGATATAATCCCAATACATTTATTCCTCCGCAGAACATGTCACTTTTAGTTAGAAAAGATTTTAAAATTCTGAAGAGAATACATGATGCCATTCCTGCAACTGTGAAGAATTTTCATCCCCTACACTATGAAGAGCATTATTACTGATATACTGCATTACAAAATCAGATATAACATTAACAAACGAAAAATAAATAAAAAATTGATGGTCTTCATTTCCCTACTTTCCAATTACACATAACATTCAATATATCAAATTTAAAATAATCATACAAAAGTTCAGAATAAGACAGGGCAATCAGTCATGCCTTACATACTAAAATAATGCAAAACATATCCATTTCTGATTTTAGGCTTTCATGGTGGTAACTGTTGGCAATTCAGTTCATCGGTATTTACACCATGTGGATCTGGGCAGCGTTATCAATGTTTTGGAGATACATGCTGCCTCCATCTTCAGTTTTACGGAAACTCACCCACCCTATATACTCTGGCCCTGAAGGAGGCAGCACATACCTCTGAAACGTTGGCAATACTTCTCACTCACAGTAAACACTCAAGAACTAAATTAACATCAAAATAAATTTCACTACCTGTTAAATTTGTGAATTGTAACCTGTGCAGCTAACATGCCAAGTGGGTTCAGCACAAAGCAGCAAAGCCACTCAAATGAACATCAATTTTACAACTGCTACGTTACACAAAAATCAAGCCTTAACCCTCTGTTGACTACAATATCTTGGTACGATACATGTTTAAATGATAAAACACATTTTTTCACATTATATAAAGTCTGGGTTCCCAATCTGTGACGGTGTTTGTGTTTAGTCTTCTCCCTCTTCTTCTTCTTCCTCTTCTTCTTCCTCCTCATCCTCCCCTGCTGATTCTACCTTCTTCTCTTCCTTTCTGGGGCGCCCACGGCCCCTCCCAGTACTTCCTGAAGACTTCTGCTAAACCAAACAGAATAATTTACTGTCATATTTGCACTGGGGAATTTTCCTCAGTGGTTCCAGGTCTACTCAGGCCCCAGTGAGTAATGGGTGCTGCTCTCTAAGAAAAGACAATTATTAGTACATAGTGGACCACTCAACTTGCACTGCCAAGTAAAAAACAAACACCAACACAAAATAACAGTATACACTGCTGTCCAAAAATTATCCGACTTTATTTTAATCGCCAAAGGGGTGGGGAAACTGAGCATAGTGGTAGAAGGGACTTTCATGTGCATGCATGATTTTTTGCTGACTCACAACATCGCCAGATGCGTCTGTGGCTGCCAGATAGCGAAGTGGTGTAACACGTGTTCGTCGCATTCTCATTTCGCTCAAGATGACAGAACACTTGGAGCAGCGATACTGCATCAAGTTTTGTCAGAAACTTGGGGATACCCAAGTGGAAACAATTCGCAAAATTCAGCAGGCTTTCGGCAATGATGCAATGGGGGCCACTCAAATTAAAGAGTGATTCAACCACTTTAAAGAAGGCCATATGTCGGCAGACAGTGACCAGCATTCCGGGACACCGTCAACAAGCCGAAATGCTGATGTCATCGAAAAAGAGCAGACACTGATCATGGAGGACCATCATTTGAACATTCGGGAAGTTGCTGATGAGGCTGGGATCAGCAGAGGTTCTGTAAACACTATTTTAGCTGAGGATTTGGGCACGCAAAGAGTGGCAGCAAAATTTGTGCCCAAGCTGCTTTCACCAGAGCAGCAACAACTCCGCCTTGAGGTTGCACAGGACATGCTGGAGTGGGCCAACAGGGATCCTGAGTTCCTGAAGACTGTTATCACTGGTGATGAGTTGTGGGTGTACGGATATGACCCAGAAACCAAGGTCCAGGTGTCACAATGGAAGCATCCAACATCCCAGAGGCCCAAAAAAGCACGACAGGTTCGGAGCAATGTGAAGGTGATACTGTTTTTTCGATTACCGCTGTGTTGTGCATTATGAGTATGCACCACTAGGCCAAACTATAAATAAGGAGTACTACCAAGAAGTCCTCCACCATCTTCATGATGCAGTTCGGCGCAAGAGACTGGAGCTGTGGGAAGCATGCAACTAGCAGCTGCATCATGACAATGCCCCAGATCATTCATCACACCTGATAGAGGGTTTCCTGGCCAAGCACATTCTGCAGGTTCGCCAGGCTCCCTACTCTCCTGACATTGCTCCTTGTGATTTCTGCCTGTTCCCAAGATGGAAGACACCGCTAAAAGGCTCCCATTTTGACAGCCGTGAGGACATCACACAGAACATGATGGTGCAGCTGAACACTATTACAAAAGAAGCCTTCCAGAATTGCTACCAGTGATGGAAGGACCACTGGGCTAAGCGTGTGGCATCACAAGGGGCCTACTTTGAAAGGGGTTAGGTATTGTAACCACCCAGATACAGAACTTTGTTCTCACGGCCCAAGGTCGGATACTTTTTGGACAGAGTAGTATATCATATGAATCAAAGTCCTAAGGCCAAACTTCAGGAGGTTGTTGGGAAGATAATTTGAAACAAAAATATTGTCATGTAGACCCATTGCTAGCAATGACCATCACACAAGCAACTATACAACCACTGCTAAGTAACAGCTCCGTAAACAAGCACAATTCCACAGCAATAATGGAAGAGAGACATATTCTGTGTGGTGTGTTCCAAGGATATATAACAAGGATCAGCTGCTATTACAAGAGAGTCTTGAGATGGCAGTTAGAAGAGTAGGAGGTTGGTGTGAGATGGCCACAAGCAGCACAGTGAAGACTGTGATTGAGAACACTAGTCTTTTTGATAGTGATGTGTGAAGTGTACGCACGAGTGGTATGTTCAAGATCACAATATACCAGACTACCAACTGTGATCTTGAACACACAATTTGTGCCTACACTTCACACAACACTGTAATACAAAACTAGTGTTAGTCACAATCTTCACTGTGCTGTTTGGTAATGTGTTCTTTCTAATGGATCCAAAAGAGGTGTCCCCTCCTCACCTGAGGACAGAAAAAGATATAGTTTCCAAATATTGTGTCTTCTACTTTTTTAGAATACCAGGTAACTGGCAAAAGTCCAAAAATCCAGTAATTCAGAGTGTGATAGATCACCATCAGAACTCTCATGCAAAATACAATTAACCTCAAGTTTCAGTGTTCCTTAAAATATGTCACATCTCTCAGCAGAACCACAAGAACACACCATATACATATGTACATACCTTTGCTGAAGTCTTTCCCTTCTTCTTTGTTGAACCCTTAGGCCGTCCTCGCCCTCTCTTGGCAGGGGAAGCACCATCTGTCTTTTTCACATCTTTCTTCTCTTCATTTCCTGGCCTCCCACGTTTCTTCACCTCCTTGCCTGCTGACTCCTACATCACACGAAAACTAAATCTTCACTTCTTCGTAGTTAGGTAACATGTCTTTTTTGCATCTGCAACTTAGTAACATTTCAATTAATTTGGCAAAACCATTATGTAAGCCATTAATTTAGACCCGTCTGTTCCTAAAAGAATGCACAGTGAATTCGACCAAGTCCAGTATCTGAGATAAGGACTGTAGGGTGTGCCTGTTACAGTGGAGTTCTCACTACAGAACATCACCTTCCATACGCCAGGTCTAAAACATAGCTGGTACTTTCCACTAGGTTTGGTTTTGAACAGTATTAAATTCTGTGGTCAACTGAATATTCAAACATTTTCAGCACACAATAATAAATACTAAAGATGGGATTTTTTTTTGTTAAACATGTGGTGAGGGAGTTTGAGTATGCAACGGACCCTGAAAGCTATACCAGCGGTAGCGTAGCTACTGGCAGGGCCTCCCTTGCTGGACAGGTCAAAAGGCAGGCATCAGGCGAAGAGAGACACCAAAAACCAAAAACTGATGCCGGAAGCAGCGTCATCAGCAGCGACTTGAAGCACAGAGCAAATGATACTTGAGATGGTTCAAGTTCATATAGCAACAGGTGTGACCAGAGTAGTTTGAATGGCTGTTGTACTGCGATGTGGAAAGCAAATGGAAAAACTACCACATTATCACTTTTCCTGGATAGTCTCTTTCCAAAAACAGAGACACCATGTATGCGAACCAGAAGACGAGGAAGAAGACGTAAGATGCTGGATGACCTTGGGGACAGAAGAGGATATTTATTTTATTTGAAGGAGAAAGCTTTAGATTGAATTAAGCGGAGGAACTGCTTTGGAAGAGACTGTGGACCTGTCGTCTGAGAGATTACTGATGAATGAATGAAATATGTTGTGTGAACACTAAATACTGCACTTCATTAACCATATCCATAAAAGGCTAATTCCTGCCATTCTATTGTTGAGCATGTTGGCAGAGTTGGTAGTAATATTGAACAGGAGCACAAAATGGCAGCAATCAATGGGAGTGGTGGAAGGTATCCCAGAATTGTTCCTGCAGTGTCCACCTTTGTCAAATAAAAGTTCATAGAGTACCTTCAGACATCTGCACCCAGGCCTGCAGAAATTCCTGGTACCCGGTCATCATGGTACCTACAATTTTTAGGCACTCAAATTTTCTTCCTATTATATTACTAATGCACAACCTAACAAAGATCACAGGCAAAATGATCTTTGTTCCTTTCCTGCAATCCCTTTCAAATTTGTATTTCTTTCCTCCTCTGTTCCTGATGGCGCTCCCATTCTCTTTTGTCTGTCACATCATTCCTCTCAACCCTGCATATTATTTCCCTCTCCATCCTCCAATATTTCTTAACTTCCATTTTCTGACCTATCGCCATTCATCTCCCCATATCCTAGTGATAGAGAACTGGGTATTCCTTGAGTGTGAAATAAACTGGCTCTTATTACATGCAGATTTTACATTTATTTTCACTTCATGGATCCCATCACCTCCCTGTAGGACTAGATATAAAACATGTCCCACGTTACAAATTCATGATGACTACACATCATACATCCTTAGTCCTATAAAGTACATATCAGGCCTCACACAGACAGGACAAATCCCTCATATTTCCAACCATAACAACTGTATGCTGCACAATTGAACGCCTTGCTATTCCACATACATTGGCCAGCCATGTCATCAATACAGTTTCATTGTAACACACTACAATTCATAACAAACATAGTCATCATACATACTGCCAGTTACAACAAGCAAGCCTCAACAATATATAATACACACAGAACATTTATTAACCCTTAAAATTTGAGCCCCCTGCATGCTCAACAAATTCGTCAGTAGAGTAAAATGAGTTACTTTGCAAATAATTTTGTAAAACAAACCTAAATTGAATTTGATAATTTTCTAAAGCTGAGATATTTCATGGCAGAGCATTAAATAGCTTGATTCCTGAATAATACACCCCGCTCTGATAGGATGATAAATGTGTTGTAGGTATATGAAGGTGGTCATTCCTTCTTGTGCTGATTCTATATACAGAGTTATTGGTCTGAAACTTATCCAGATTATTAACAACAGATGTCATCACTGAGAGCAAATATACACATGGGATTGGTAGTATGCCAAGCTCTTTAAGTAAGCCTCTACATGTATGAGTTGGGCCCATTCCCATCATTATTCTTATTATTTTCTTTTGCATAACAAAGACCTTGTGACTGTCAGATGTATTTCCCCAATATGTTATTCCATATTTCACTAATGGATGATAATACACATAATATACAGCTTTAAGATTATCAGTTTTTAACATATAAGATGATTTTTGCATTAGAAAACCAACTGTGCTCAATTTATGAAGCAAAAAATCTATGTCCCTTACAAGTCAGATGATTGTCCAGCTGCAAACCCAGAAATTTTATCGTTTCTACTTCTTTCAGCATTTTGTTAAAAAACAATGTACGTGGTGCAATCCAAAAGTTCCCGAAATATATTAATAAAAACTATTACATCTTACCTAGATCTTATTCTGCACCATCACCTTCAAAGTAGTCCCCTTGGGAGCGCATACACCGATCCCAGCGTTTCTGCCACTTTTCAAATGCATCTGGAAGTCTTTCTTTGTTAGGGTGTTTAGTACCATCTGCGTTTCCGCTTGAATTTCCTCAACTGTATCACATCTTCTCCCCTTCAATTTGATTTTCATCTTGGGGAAGAGAAAGAAGTCGCATGGAGCTAAGTCTGGCGAGTACGGTGGGTGGGAAACAACTGCCATCTTGTTTTTAGCCAAAAATTCCTGCACGATGTAAGCCATATGCGGTCGTGCGTTGTCATGGTGGAGTACCCAGTCGTTCGTGCGCCACTTCTCTGGACGTTTTCTCCTCATGTCCTCCTTCAAACGCCTTAGAACATCACGATAGAACTCTTTATTGACTGTCTAAGCAGGAGGGACGAACTCCTTATGAACAATCCCGTCAATATAAAAAAAAACAGATCAACATGGACTTAACGTTGCTCTTGACTTGTGGAGTTTTTTTCGCCGAGGTGAAGGGCTCTTCCATTGCGACGACTGCTGCTTGCTTTCAGGGTCGTAGCCATAAACCCAACTTTCGTCCCCAGTGACAACCTTTGAAAGAAAGTTTGGATCCTCTTGAAGCTGTTGCTGAAGTCCCTGCAGACTTCCAAGCGATGCTGTTTCTGTTCATTTTGCAGCAGTCGTGGCACAAACTTTGCCACAATCTTCCTCATGTTCAGTTCCTCTGACAAAGTTCGTTACCATAACTTAGTCCCAAGGTGTTACAGAGGTCTTGGATGGTCAGTCTATGATCTTGCAGAATCAGATCCCTAACTTTCGCGACATTTTCTGGTGTTTTGCCCGTTGACGGCCGTCCCAAACGATCGTCATCATCAGTCAATGTTCGGCCATTTTTAAAACGCTTATACCAGTTGTAAGTTTGTGTCTGGCCTAAACTGTTTTCACCAAAAGCTTGCTTCAACATTTGGTGCGTTTCTGCAGTGGTTTTCCCAAGTTTGAAACAAAACGCTACTCTCTCAGGTCAGGCATCACAAAACTGCAAACTCACGGAAACACAATGGAAATACGTTCACCAACAATAAACCCAACCACTCAACTCGACACCGCTTGCCACACTAATTCAAGAAGGATGTGTGAGGAGACACCTAGCGGTATTTCAATGTACTCATAACCATTCGCGCGCAAAATTCAAATTTCGGAAACTTTTGGATTGCGCCACGTATATAGAGGGTAGCTCATAGCTGCTGTTGGGGTGAATTTTATCATTTTTGTTTTATCCATATTTAACACAAATTGACTGTTTTGAAACCACATAAACATGTGATTAAAACAACATCCAATTTTATTTTTAAATTATAGTAGTCTTTAGCTGTGCAAAGAATGCTCGTGTCATCTGCAAACATAATAATTTCAGAAATTTTACTTATTTCAAGGGGGAAATCATTTATGTACATATATGTATATATTAAAAAGGGTCCCAACACAGATCCCTGAGGCACACCACATCCAACAATTTCCCAGTTGGAATATTTGTTATTTATATAATTTAATTCCAGTTTCATTACTATGCCAGTGTTACCTTTTGAATCTACTGCAAATTGAACTGGCTAAGTTGTATTTTATTTTCTGGCTACAATTTATTACTTTATTACTGTTAATTACTGGAAAATGTTAGTAAAATGTTAAGGGCAGCAAGCAACTTACCCTTCTGAAGACTGAATTTTACAACACAACAGTTCATTCTACACCTAAAATTAAATTACCTGTATTCCTAGCTCATGTTACATTTTTCCTTGAATCATTCCTGAGTGTCAAATTTCTCACCTTGACTTCTGCACCAGTTTTGGCTGGTCGACCACGTTTTCTCTTGGTCTCCTCCTGAGGCGCTGCCTCGTTGTCGGACATGGTGCCAGTAACTGACAGTGTATCACACACAAAAGCACGTGGCTACAAACCCGAACAAACATCCTGATCAGACTCCTTATACAAACTTTAAATTAGGATCTTTCAAAGTACATTTCTTCCTTCACTGCTTGAAAAGTGTGTATGTGACCTTACTTTCAATTTTCAAGCATTCTCATAAAATAACAACTTCTGTTTATGGCTTATAGAACAAAAAAAAACGATAAGATATCCTCCTGAGCATACTACACTTTCCAAGAGGTCAATGTTGTCATAATGACATTTCAAGAGCAGTAACAGCAATCAGAATATGCCCATATCATGGCCTTGGTTCTTAATTATTCTATCACCAATTGTTATTATTTCTCAGGTTATAAATGCATACAGTTCCTTAGGGCATAAGGGTTGTATACCCACAATTAAACTGGATAAAATGACAATAGAAACCATAAAAAATAACCTTTTGTTCTACCTCCCATGTTCAACTATTCATGCTTCAAACACTGTACGTGCTTACTCTATTCCACAAAATATTAAGACGAGACCATTCACAACTAAGGCACAATACAGAATGTACCAAGATTATAATGAAAATTATAGTGAAGATAATTATTAAATATAAAAGAAAAATACTGAATGAATTTTGAGATAACCTATCCAATGAACATTCTTTCCTGAACCATGATGTCACAGCGATGAAGCCTTGAACCTGAATGTTAGTGGGGAGATCTGTAGACAAACTGCATGATAAGAAACACATACTCAGGAAGTAGGCAACTGTGTTAGTCTGTTACCAACATATGACAAAACCCAAGATACTGTATGAACACTTGACTACAAAAGGGATACATCTTACTCCTGTTATTAAAGTTTCTAATAAGCATATTATATTGAAAAAAAGACACGCTTGGGCATTATACACCATCCTGTTTTTATTCAAACATTTTGGACACTGTACTCTATCTCCATTCACAGGCAAAAACCTACAGTTGGGCCCAATCAATAAAGCTTGTCCCTACATCCAGACACCACAACCAACGTAAGGCAGATTATAGAACGTGGATCTTATTTACTACAAAATATGTATGTCTACCACAGCAAATGGTGCATTTCTTTCTGGAACCTAACTCCATCATCTGTCTCACACCATGGAATTTAAGACTGAAGAAATGACTAAGCTTGGATCTTGCCCCTTAAAATCTTCAACAACAAATATGTTGGTTATGAAAAGTTTCCTCAACACTCATGGTGCTCAGCCCTTCTTGAGAAGCCACCAATTGTGCAGATACTCAAGAATTTCCCAGCATTTTATGGAACCCAAAGGTTCATTCACGTGATCACAAGAGCCCTCCACTGGTCCCTATCCTTAGCAACATCAATCCAATCCCATACATCCCATCGATCCATTTTAATATTGTCCACTCATCTACATCTTAATCATCCTAGTGGTCTCTTTCCTTCTGGCTTTCCCACCAATATCCTATACACATTTCTCCCCCAATTGTGCTACATGACCCAACCACCTCATCAACCTTGACTTGATCATTCTAATTATACTTGGAGAAGAGTACAAGTTATGAAGTTCCTCATTATCAAGTTTTCTCCAACCTCCCGTCAATTCATCTCTCTTCGGTCCAAATATTTTCCTCAACACCCTCAATCTACATTACTCTGTTAATGTCGGAGACCAAGTTTCACACCCATAGAGAACCACAGGCAATATTATTGTTTTGTATATTCAAATTTTTGTTTTTGGACAGCATATGAGAAGACAAAAGGTTCTGGACTGAAGGGTAGTAAGCATTACCCAAGTTCAATCTCCTCTCAATTTCCTCCTGAATCAGAATTTGATTTGTTATCGTCATTCCCAAATATCCGAACTGTGCCACATTTTCAAAATATCTGTTATCTACCTTTATGTCATGATTTTGCCCTACATTCTGGTGATGAGACAGCAAAATATACTTAGGTTTCTCTGTGTTTACTTCTAGACTAACCTCCTTACTAGTGTCAATTAAAGTGTGGGCATTTTTCTTTATGGTATCTATATTATCACCCAGTCGATACACATCATCAGCATAGACCAACAGCTAATGTGTCCCATTTAATTTCAGTCCCACCTGGTTTTTCTGGGACCTTCCTGATGGCACATTCTAAAGCAAAGTTGAAAAGGAGTGGCAATAAAGCATCTCCTTGTTTCAGACCATTCTGATAGGAAAATTATTAGACAAATATTTATCTACTGCTTTAATATACTCTACTATACATTTCATTTAAAGACATTTTAATCAGCCTAACTAGTTTCAAGGATACCCAAAACTCTATGAGAATATTGTACAATGCTTCCCTCCTAACTGAATCACAGGCTATCTTGAAGTCTACAAATAGCTGACGTACTGTCTCATTGTGCTCCCATTTTTTCTCCCCTATCTGACGAATGCAAAAACTCTGATCAGTAGTTGATCTGTTACGTTGAAAGCCACACTGATGATCCCCAATAATTGAGAGAATAGTAGTGGACAAAATTTTGTATGAAGTGGATAGCAGTGATATCGCCCAATAATTACTATAGTCAGTTTTGACATCCTTCTTCTCAACTGATACAATAATAGATTCCTTCCACTGATCAGGCAATTTGTCCTTATTCCAAATAGAATGAATTAGCTTATGGATCATAGAACATAATACTTCACCTCCTGCTTGGATTAGTTCTGCCAGATTTTGATGACTACCTGCCATACCTTTTCAACTTTGCAATAGCAATTTCAATCTCAAAAGAGCTAGGATCAGGTACTAACGACTCAGCTGTACTTATTTCTATCTGCCTAACATTACTGACAATATGCACATTCAATAACTGAGGGAAATAGTTCTTCCATCTATTCAAAATGTTGTGGAACCTGCAAGTAGATCACCATTCTCACGTCACTAATTTACTTCTAAGTTAGTAACACCTCTTAAAGTCATTTATTTCTCTATACAGGTCTCTAATGTTCTTGTTCTTACTGTTCATATCAAGCTCATCAATTTTGTCTTTCAGATTTCCTCTCTTTTTATTCCTGAAATGCCTGCTAGATTCACGTCTTATATTGTTCAGATTATCCCCGCTTATTTCACTTGGATCTTGCAACCACTGCAGTCTGGCTTGTTTCCTTTGGTTTAATAAGTTCAAGCATCCTTTGTCAAACCATGGCTTATGCTTCTTCAAATCATAATAACCTAAATTCTCTTTGGCAAAAATTCTGACATTCTCTCTACGAGTTTACCAAGCACTACTAAAATCCTCCTCAGTGTCTAAGCTCTCCAAAGCTGTAAACCAACTTGAGACTTCCTTGCCCTTTACCTTGTTTAATTTCTTGAGATTGAACCTCTCCATATGAACTGTGTGTGTTGTTTGTTTACTCAATGCCAACCTCTCCATAACTTATGCCACCACCAGATAGTGGTCAGAATCACAATCTGCTGCCTTGAAAAATCAGACATCAAGTACACTTGAATGCCATCTCCTATCTATCAAAATATAGTCAATTTCATTATGTGTCTTTCCATCAGATGTCCAAGTAAATTTATGACTGTTACAATGTGTGAACATGGTACTTTTGACAATAAGATTTTTGGATGTGCCAAAGTTTACTATTCTAACTCCATTATCATTATTAATTTCGTTTAAACTCTCGTTCCCAACTGTTAGTTTGAAAATGTCTTCCTTACCTACTTTGTCACTGAAATCTCCTAGCATTTTCATATGGTATTTAGGGAATTTATCAAACATATGTTCTAGTTCTTTGTAGAACCTGTCCTTCATATCAGCAATTTTATCTTTTGTTCGAGCATGAACATTCAGAATATATCACACCAGTGACCTCTTAGTATTATGTATGACATCCTATCTCTAACATAACTCCTCCCACTTACGAGTAGCTGCTGCTATGATTTTCTAATGTATGAAAAAAACATGTACCTAATTCATGATTCTCATTCACCTTTCCATAGAAAAATGTATATTTGCCTGCTGGTTTGGTGCCACCTCCGTCCTCTCTGATCTCCTGTACTCCCAGTAAATCTAACTTTTATTTTGATATTTCTTCTGTGACTCTCCTAAGTGCATCTGCCCTATACATACTTCTAACATTCCAAGTACCAAAACTCACATCCATTTCCTTTCATTTAAGTCGTTTATCCAAATAATCCATCCAGGTCCGAGGCTCCTTGAACATTTTCGTAACAAGCTTATTTCTTATGGTGAGGAGTTGTTAGCCCCACGCCCAACCCCTGAAGCTAGAGAACCATCCCTTGTCAGGTTATTCAATATATTCGCAGCTACTGTCCATATCTGGAGGCCGTCCCCTCCATCCACAACGTGAAGACGTGCCATGTCGTTGTGACAAAGGACCCACCTAACATTTCCTTAGCATGTTTTTTTTTCTCACAACAGTAAATTCTGTTGTGCAGACCAAAACACCCTCTTCTGGTCTTTGGTAACAAATTTTATGAATCCTGGTTTCTGATGCATGAAAAATAAATTGATCCATACTGTTCACCTTATGCTTTTTAGGCTTTCTTTATAAACCAATAGTGAAGGCCGTATGCTAAGATCACATTTGCCTGTAACCAAGTATTAGTGCAATAAACCACCTGGACAGTTTTTCTTAAAATTCAATATGACCCAAAGTTGTATGGCAATTCTGATTTTTGGCCATAGTGATCCATAGGAGACAGATTTATGTTAAGGCCATAAATGGACTTCTCCACGTATTCCATTAATGGTTTCACAGATATTGCTGAAATTTGATATGAAGACTTCCACAAAAGTTTTTGGCACTTCAGATTTTCTGCTTCACTGGTCTGTAATAAAACCTAGTCTACACAGGACCATAAATGAACTTTCCTGTGTCCCACAAACCACTTCAGAGACTTTATTGGGTAATTCTGATTTACAGCAACACTAGTTCTTAATAAAGCTTAGTTTGCATAACGCCAAGTCGATCAGATTACTATTACTAACAGCTACAATGTGCTAAGGCTGAGCACATACATGGAGGTACATATCACATCTCCCTGAAGTTTAAGAGTAAAAAATGGCAATTTTGCAGACAGCACATGCTTCTAGTTGAAACCAGACTCCTAGAACCCCCATCACACTAACATGGTAGATTTGTGTATTCAACTTCTTTTCTAAAATGTGAAAATAGCTGGTAATTACTTCAGGTATAGTATCAAGAGGGAAGTGATGGTTACAAATGGGATTTCAACCTATACACATAGACCAAACAACAATAATGTTGAAAATAATAACAAAAATTATAAAGAGTACATAATGGTTAAGTCTGGGGTTTTCCAGTATTACTCAGAAACAAAACACAAATAATTTAAAGGGACCACAACCATCAATGGGAACATCTTCCCAATATCAAAAGGGATTAACAGCTATGAATCTGATCTTCCATTCTACTTTCCAAGTTTAGGAAAGTTTACAGCAGCAATTCGCTGAAATACATCTTTCGGTGGACAAGTGCCATCCTGCAAGGAATTTTCGGCTGTCAGAATGTCCATTCCACTCACCAGAGTTGTCACCATGGCTTTCTTGTTCCAAAAACTACTAATCTCTAAAAATCATGTAAACCACCATGAAAAGTCATGTGGCAATGCTTCCATGCATGGCAGGGGCACTGATTGGAATACATGTATAAAGTTGGAAGGGGAGTACTTTGAAAGTGAACACGGGCAATAAAGTTTGTACTTAGGCCTCATACACATACAGACGTCAAATATAAAATAACAACGCAAGAAAATACGTACGGCTCAACAACAGTATAAGTCAAGAAGCACATTTCCAATCACGTTTTATACTTAACACGCAACTGCTGCCGACAAAATAAGATTCGTAACGAAATAAATAAACAAATGCCTACAAATAAATTACACTTCACGTTTCTCATAATACATACCGTTATTTTAACATAACCTCCTTTCTTCGAATATATTCATTCATATTACTATGCGGCACCAAACTCTGGTATATTACAATGACGCCATATTTTAAAAAGACGATCCCAAATAGTGATACGATTTAGGACAAAACCACCTTGAAGTTTGTTTAAATATTCCGATGCGTTATCCACATTACGGAGTTTAACCAACACTATTCATAATATAACTGAAATTCCGCGCCCGCCATTTTCAAATCGAATCCATCTTTCAAGGAAAATAACAAATCCGCTCCTCATAAATTTTTCTCTATTTTTAGAAAGCATAAACAGAGAAATTACACCGAAAGGATCAGTAAATAAAAAATATTAAACATCTTAGGCCTATTTCCTAACTGAATATCATACTCACACCTCCAAATAAAATTAAAGATGTGGTCGGAATTTGCAGGAAAATTCTCTACGCTAGCTCCTGGCTTGCCGCCTGGCTACGGCACTTCGATCTTACCGGACGCCATATCCCTGTATTTTGGCCCGGAATCAGGATGTAATATACACATTTACAATTTATACTCTCCACTTACTTCATAGCCAGACAAACAAAATATACCAAAATTTCACTTCAAAATTAATCTACAAGACAATGTTTTTATAATAACTCTAGAAAATTTCTCAGAGGATATATTAAATGCAAACCAACCAAATTAATTCGATCCTTACCTCCGCAGCACACAATGACGGCTTGGCAAGAAGGATGTAGTTCAGCCGCGTTGACACAGATAGCGTTGAATTCCCGCCTAAAGTTTCGACTCCGCGGTAAAACTGTTAAAATGAAATTAACTATGGTTTTATTAAAAAATATTCAGTATGCAATAGGGATCCACATCATTGAATAGGAAAAATTATTTTTACAGTATGTTTTGTAGCGATAATTATTGCATATAACAAGCAAATCGAAATTATTCGTCCATATGCAGATCTATTTTTTGTCTTCCAAATTATAAATGACCAATGGTCAACCGCCTTGCTCCACACTGTGCAGAACGTGGATGCTGTTGTTGTAAAGTATTTAAATATTATATCTTATTTATTCTACAATATGGTATTTAGATGTTCTTCATATTTTTTTTTTGGTTTATAAATAATCGTTCTACTTTCTAAAATGTTTCCTATCGTCCACGTAACTAACCATAAGGGTGGTGGCATATGTTATTTGGAAAATTGCTTATATGCATTTTTTCTATGGAGATATCGATTCCTGTTTTGCATAAATATATTGAAATTGTACTTATTAATGTGATCGATTACAAACCCTTGTAAAATAAAATGCTCATAACAAACCAAGAGACCAACTTCATTTTTTAGAATATTTTATACTGCGAATAAGGCTTGGAGTTTTTATTGGAACTAAACTACGTGCAACACATCCAAGGATGGAATTTGACCAAAATACAAATGCACACGAAATCAATAATCTAGCTTGAAATCACCGTTACGATACCTGCAGATGTGACATGAATCAGTTCAAAGGACTGGTCATAGATGGCTCTGCTGTTATCGATACGCCACCAACTAAAACAAATTTCGTTCCCAATAACTAAGTAGTTAAGCGCCCTAATAAGAACGGACATTTAAATGCAGAGTAACGAGAGTAACAATGGACATTTAAACGCGGACCAGCAGCGGGCATTTAAAGAAACTCCGGCCAGCTCAAGCTTACTACCATTTCAAAAGTCCCATGTTTAAAGGTTAATTTTGATGCGTACTGCAAAAATGGTTTCCCAGTTCTTCACAGAGTTGTTCTGTATTATAAATTAATTTGTTTGTAACACTTGACAAATGTTAGCAGCCCTGGTGTCATAAAACAGATGGAAGCAATAAAATAATTTGGTCTTCTGCTAGCACTGCTTACACTCTTCGGATTTTCGAATCTTTTGACTAAAGGACAGAAGAATGAAAGAATGGCTATTCAAGAGAAAGACAGAGGGGACCCTTCTTCAACGCTAAGACCTTCCGTTATAGCTGCAAGAGATTATTGCCCTTTCTAGAATCGTGAATAGACAGCTGCATCGTGGCTGAGATACAGACTGCGATCTGTTTTCTGTGCGTTCATAGTGAAATCGAATACTGTAATTTCATTTCAGCCGGTATATACATCAAGCAGATAACAACAAAAAGGGTATGTACATCGAATTTTACTATATATTTTTAACACATTAATCTGCAGAATCTGCAATAAAAGTACTGGCTCGTGGATGAGTTTGGGCATAACTTACACGTATATTCTTTTTTGCTGTTGTTCACTTAGGTATCATTTTAATTCCTCTATTATGGTTCTACTCAAGCCTGTCTGGTAATTACTACATTTAAAAATAAATATTTAGGACTTGCGCGCGCTTCCACTAGCGGATTTTAAATGCCCGACTGGCCAAAACGGGGGTACTTTGGCCACGACGACCAGAGAAGACGTGACTGTAGACCGCTGTAGACACTAGTGTACTTGTAATAGTGAACCGTAAATTATTGTCACTAGTTCACTAAATCCAATTACCAATCCAACCCCCGTCTATAGTCTCACTTCATCACGTGACAATAATTGAACTTCGAAGTCAGTGCTTTGTACTTATGTCGATGACACAGCATCGCGAAATGTAAAGAAACACATTTTTGGAGATCTGACAGATCATAGGGAATTGTTAAGCACCGAATTTTGTGAGAACTATGTTGGCGACTCTGTCACGCATATATATAAGTAACTGTTCAGCAGCTGGTACCGCTGGTACGGCTGGGAGCGGGTAAGGTGGCAAAGCAGGGAGGAGCGAAGTAAAGGCATTGAGCACGCTGGAAGAGGTGGAGGTTCCGTTAGGAGGTGTAGGGTGTATATATATATTTTTTTTCTTTTAGGGAGTAAATCGATCGTTTAGGCAGAGGTCGTTTACAAATTAACGAACATTATCGGAATTTTAGCCTGCCTATTAACTGTAACAAAGCGCCAATGGAAAGGAGCTTACACAAGTGCTTGGATGATGTGTAAGTATATTTACCGAAGCTTATAAAAGCCTTATTTTAAAACGTGATGTTATCCATTGAGATCTACAAAGTTTTAATGATTTAGGCAATATAGGCAATTTGTCTATGGCTTACGAATCAAGAGTGACCACTTTTCAAAGGATTTTCCAAGAATGCCACAGTCAAAAAAGATAGTCAGTCAGTGACAGACAACTAAACATACTCCTGCTCATGCCGTTATATGTCAGCTGCTAAAATAATAGGCGGTAAGCACCCACAAAGAAGTTTGTATGGGATTCATTCTTGAGTTCCATAGTATTGGTAATTTGTGTTTGTTGTAACAAACATTGTGTAGGATTTGAGGTTCTTACAGTGGTGGTTATGAAGAGCCCTATCTTTTTGGGATATAACGCCATGGAGTCTGTTGAAACTTAACCGACGTTTCAGAGGAACATGTCACCTCCATATTCGGGGTTTAGAATAAGCCAAGCAAGAAACAAGTGCGCAACAGATAGGAAGCAAACCAGTACTACACATGACCAGGATAACTAGCATGTCCCTGCAAGGGATCTTATTTGTGTTGGTGTAGGAAGAAACAGTGGGAAAGTATTGAGGATGTTGTAAGCAGAGAATGGAGCATTATGGGAGAGGAGCCATAAGCATGCATGCAGTGAAGAATAAAGGAAAGTAGTGGAGAGAAGCCAGGATAGGAGGGTAAAGGTTAGGGCTGATGCATGCCTGCAGAGGGCAGAGTTGGTCCTCTGATAAGACCAGTGTATATGGATCTCTGTGCCCCCACGGAGAACCCAGATCCAGATTCCTGTAAGAGAGGCTTCTTATGATCTTTCAGGGATCCTCCTTGTTCATATTATTGGGATGGAGCTCAGTTTCAGTTACTTCCCTGATGACACAATCAATGTATCTGTTTGGTGAAGAGGATGCTGGTGTTGTATAGCTGGATGCAGTGCCCCAAGTTCATACTGTGCTCCTCTAGCCTGTTGTTGATTGAACATCCAAGTCAATCCAGTATAGACTTAACTGTATACTCCTGGTGCCTTTAAGTCCCAGGTTGTCTGTAACCGATCGAAAGAAATGATGCATGGAGACAATGAGTGCAAGGGTGTTTTTTTTTTGTTCCTACACTGTTCATGATTTTGCTCAAGTTGTGGGAATATTTGTTTCAGGTCTCAGGTTGCAAGTGTTAAAGGCTGTCTTGTGGCTGATGAACAGGGATTATGTTTGGGAGGTAAGTATATGAATGAAGTAGCCAAATTTTTTAAGTTTCTTTTGGCCATCTAGATGTGAATATATTTAATCAGTTAGTTTGCAGTGTAATGGTAGACAAAGATTCCTTATGGCTGGTGATTATGACATTGTTCCACCTGCAGAGATTATGCAGAATATTTCACAACTTTATGTTGTGACTTCAGGAGGTTATTCCCAAGGCACATTGTGAGTGAAGAATGTTATGTTAATATGGGTAAGAAAGGTAAAGTTGTCCCTGTGCTTAACTAATTAAGCACTGTGCCATGAAGATACGTAGGTAAGTCAATAAGTAAGTTACAAATGGATATAGAACTTAAACAAATAAGAGTACAGGTTTGAAAAATGCTTTTACTTCTCAACATAATCTCTGTGTACATTGAGGCACTTGTCCCATTGTTTCACAAGCCCCTGAAAGCCAGCAGCATAAAATTCTTTGGGCTGCTGTCAGAACCAGGCATGTTCACACAGCATGGCCCACCTCATAATGCATGACAGGTTGCATGCTTCCATTGAATGGCCTTATGAAGTTTCCTGAGGATGTTACAGTAGGAGTTGGCATTTACGGTTTGTCCTTGAGGCTGGAATGTGGTGAGCAGTATGCCTTCGTGATCCCAGAAGACTGTGAGCATCACTTTCCTGGAGGATGGTGTCACTTTAAACTTTTTTGGCAGGTGGTTTCCACTGAATTGACGCCTGCTTTGTCTCACGCTGGTAATGGTGAACCCAAGACTCATCACCTGTGACAATTTGGACTAGCATATCATGTCCATCATGGTAGCAATTGAGATGCTGTAATGCGAGACCTATTCTTTGCATTTTTTGTTTTGGGGTCAGCATGTGCGGCACCCATTGTGCATAGACTTTGTGAAAACCTAACCTGTCATGAATTATGAGGTAGGACATGCCATGTGAACATGCCTGGTTCTGACAGTAGCCCAAAGAATTTTATGCTGCTGGTATTCAGGGACTTGTGAAACGATGAGGTAAGTGCCTCAATATAAAGGGAGATTATGTTGAGAAATAAAAGCATTTTTCAAATCAGTACTCTTATTTGTTTAAGTTCTATATCCATTTGTAACTTACTTATTGACTTACCCACATTTTCTTGACCTCAGCATTAGTTGGAGGTGAGTGGTCAGCTTCATGCTCCTACCACTTTATTCCTGTGGAAAGAACCCTCGGTACCCATTGGATAGGAGGCTGGATGGGCCCCAGACCTGGTCTGCATGACATGGAGGAAGGAAATTCCAATCCCTCAATCATGTAGCACATGACCAGACTTTCAATAGTTACAGAGTTATGGGTATGGAAATCTCAGATGTTTTTGAATACAACAAACATGTTTATTGTAACAAGAACTGTTTGTGAGGACTGATCTCTAACTGCCAAAACATCTCACTCTTTTTCTTCACTTAGCACATTCCTCTTGGATTGTCTCTTTTTGTCACAAACTAGACCACAATTAAGTATTTCTGATAAGCTTCAATACACACAAATTTTTGTTCATGAGTATTTATGACAGCCTTGAATGCATATTCTGTGAGTATTCTTTTGTATGTAAAGTTGCCCATGTGCCTATCTTGAGCATCATGCCATGAAGATGTGTGGGGTAGTGGAGGTGTAATTCCATACAAACTTAAAACTCGTCACTAGATGGAAGTAGGTGGTCATCTTCATGTGCCAGTCATTTTCTCTCTGGGACAACAGCTCCTGGTATACAATGAATAGGAGGCTGGATGGGTCCCAGAGCTAGTCTGGATGTCACAAGAGTAAAATATTTTACCCCTGCTGGGAATCAAACCCCAGTTTTTTGATCATCTAGTCCATGAATGCGCTGTGAAAACTTGCTACTGAATTGTATACCTCCCTGAACAAGTAGCAGAATTCAAACCTGAAGATACGTAAAAGATCTGAGCAAGCAGAATGCGAAACGACTGCTGTACTGATCATGCTGTTTTTTGACTATTCAAATGACTCATCATATTGGGCAGTTACACATCAACTGCCAACAGAAAAAAAATCTGTTATGATGTTGCTATATTACCTTGTCTGAATGGTCTGTTCTAATTTACAGAGCTGACTGCAGAAACATGTTACATGCATCTATGCTAAGCACTGTTATAAAGGAATATAGAGGCACAGGAATAAAGCATCTCATATTCCTGACTTTTATTTTTTGTTAGAAGTAGGTTGAGAAATCAGCTTCACACTCTGTTCACTTTACCCCTTGGGAAAGAGCGTCTGGTACCCATTAGATAGGCTGGGTGGGCCACAGAAATGGTATGGATGTGGTGACAAAAATCCAGTCTGGAAATATGTTCCTGTTTATCTACTTTGCTGAGTGAGTTATCAGTTCCTGTTTATCTACGTTACTGAGTTATCGTGGCCCATTAGGTGTATATAATGGATATAAAATGATTACAATTTGAGCCGTCAGGAATTATAATTTGGGTTTTATGATTTCAGTAAGAGGAAAGATTTCACCACAGACTTCTGGCATGATTACTGCACTCTCACAACAAGCTGGGCTGCTGGAACCAGGCAGCATTAAGCAACCTGTGCTAATCCTTGAAAATGATTTTAGGTAGGAGCTATTTCACATCAGCTGGTGAATTCATACACTTAATGAGCAAATAGGTGTTTCCATAGAAATTCATTTCTTCAAAAGTGCATCTGAACACTTTAGTACAGAATCCAGTACCTTGATCATACCAATATACCAAGTCCAGCTCAGTCCACTTCATTTGGAAGTGATTCTGTAAAATGGATGGAGATATGCAGACTGATTAAAATTTTAATAAACATTAAAAATATTACAGATATTATTCATTAAATCAATAAACATATCCATATGCTGACAGTTATGCATAAATATATAGCACATATATTGAGAACACCCTAACACCCATACAGTTCATGTTTTCCATATTTCTTCCTGACATTCTGGTATTTCACCTTATTATACACCACAGCCCTCACTCCATACCTTCCTGTTCACCATTTATAATTATATCTTATTCAACATTTAGATCATCATCATGTATAACATAATGTAGTGTGTTTGGAGTAGATACTTCCATGGTAACACAATAACAGTGGACCGTTGCATAGGAATATCCATAGCAATCAGTGTTCATTGCGTAACAATGCTTGGTAAACACCCCTCCCCACTAGGCTGTGATGTCATGCAACAGTAGGGCGTCTAGTGCTAGGCAATGCGTAGGTAGACACACCTGGCAACAGTACCTGATATCTGTTGCGGAGCAGCAATATGTTCTCTATGTTGTCCGTGCTGAGCCTATATAAGGAGCAGCGAACACTATTAAGCAGTATTGCCCTGTGTGGAGGCGGGGTCGAATACCTCCACCGTGACCCTGTGAGTTGTAAGAGGCGACGAAAAGGGAAGTCTCAATACCGAGACAGTAAAATATGGTCACAAGTCTCAAGGGACTCGGACCCACCTCTCGTCAGAGAGGGCGCCACACAAAATCAAGACCGTAACTGTCAAACAGTAATAAATATCTTGTCATGAGCCCCAATACTGACTGACCGACCGACCGACCGACCGTTAGTCGAAATGTGACTTTGACTTGATTCAGCAGTATTGAGTTACTAGAGAGAGAGAGTTACTAGTATTCAATTTGAATTGAAGTCTAGCAGCTATGAGTTGAGTTGTATCAAGTGCATGGCAGTGACTCCAGCAGGAGAAGTAATTGTGATACTGCAGATGGCAGTAGTTGTGAAACTGTAAATTGTGTAATTGTAAGAGCGAATGTGCAATAAATATTCACTACATCCTTGACAGCATGAAGTTATTTGTTGCGTGACATACCCAACATGGGACAATATGAAATGATCATTGATTTTTTTTGCATTAACCAACACTGTGTTTACCAGTCAAGCTTCATATTTTGGAGATATAGACTTCAAAGCCTTATCTGCATAGGTAGCCCAAGGGTTTTTATAGGCCGCACCATAGCTCAAGCGATTAGTTGCTGGCTTCCCACCGTGATGGCCCGGGTTCGATCCTGGGTCTGGTAAAGTGGGATTTGTGGCCAAAGTAGTGCTGGGGCAAGTTTTCTCCGAGTACTTCGGTTTCCCCTGCCAATCTTCATTCCACCAATTGCTCCACAATCACCCTCACCTATCATCTGGGGCTGGTACAATAGGCCAAAAGTGGCCGCAGAACAAGGAACTTAGTCCCACCCCACTAGTAATAAAGAAGGGTTTTCATTTTTTTTTTTCAGAACCTATAAATGAATACAACTGAATACCCCTCCCTTAAATAGGCAGTGACCCATTCCATCCACTCATTCCAAACTCATTTTTGGTCAGTGTTAAATGTAATAAACACATTTTCTGTATGCCTGTAAAATGTCTCAGATTTTTAATCCAGACTTGTTCACCACATGTCTGTAGTATACAGGATGCTTTATTGTACTAATTCAGATGTTGCGTACCTTATTTTTCTCTTAGTTACACCTACTGACTTTTGTTAGACAAGATGAAAATATTGTCACATGTTGGGTATGTGTAACATGACAAATAACTTCACGCCATGTAACATGGATGGCACAGCAGTATTTTATATCTTTTTATATATTTGCATCCTTTTAATGCTTATATTCTGTCCTATTTTTAGGCAGTGCTATATTCATGGAAATGGAAAAATTGTTACTGCCATTCAGAAGACTGCATCCTTTTGAAGTTGGTGTGCATATGAACTATGGGGAACTTTCATGACTTGCAACTGCACCAGTTTAATCGTTATTATATATATAAAAAATCAATGAACCTTTTCTATTAGAGCTCACTGATTTATTATCATTGCTATTATGTGATGCTGTTACAATCTAAAAATGAAATGAATCACTTTGTATGAAGAAAGCAGTCTTCTGGGATTTGGCACCGTGTATAAGTGGTGTTAACCGACGTTTCGGAGGAACGTATCGCCTCCATCTTCAGGGTAGAAGAAAAAGTATAAGAAATCTGCAAGCGACAAGACCGTGAGAACGGTAAAAGCAGACTGCAGATCGCTTGCAGATTTCTTATACTTTTTCTTCTACCCTGAAGATGGAGGCGATACGTTCCTTCGAAACGTCGGTTAACACCACTTATACACGGTGCCAAATCCCAGAAGACTGCTTTCTTCATAGTCACCGCCGTGAAAGCCTCAAATCTTACACGAATCACTTTGTAGTTTGCTATATTTGTAATAATGTTTGTTTTATTATTATACATGTATTTCCTTGATAACAGTTTTTCATTATAAGATAAAACAGTAGTACATGTAAATTAATGAAATAAATAATTCTTTTAAAGCGAATAAATATCCATTTTGGAAACCAGTTTAATGTAAACTGATCCATAAGAGTAATTCTGTTAAAGCGAATAAATATTCATTTTGGAAACCAGTTTAGTGCAAACTGATCCATAAGAGAATAAATATTCATTTTGGAAACCAGTTTAGTGCAAACTGAGCCAGAATATTTAGTGAAGTGTTCACTTCATAAAATTAAGAAGGAATTTCATGACAAATGCTGCTGGCACAGTGGTAATGCTTTTGACTCATATTTGGGGGTGCTCAGTTGGAAACTTGCTGGCCTAACCTGGTTTTGATTCATTCAACGTTCACTGAAGAATGAACATGCACACCCCCAGCCTCTTTCTGTACTCAACTCTGATGCAGCAGATAACTGGTTATTCTTTTAAGGGAAGTCAAAATTGTAATTGGAAAACCCGAATGGAAAAGACCACTTGGTAATTCTAGGCAACAGAGGGAATAAGAAATAGAATGTAAGTGTTAACTGGATTGAACTGGCTCAGGACAAGGTCCAGTGGAACTCTTGTTTAAAAGTTAATGAAACTTGGGATTCCTTGAATAGATGTGCAGCTATTAACTCGGCAAGGATCATGTTCCAAGAGCTGGTTCGTCAGGTAAGACTGTTCTGAAAATGAACTACCATTTTTTTGTTGTTGTTTCCCCATCATCAGCCATTTTCTACATTAAGAAACAATATGTTAAACCTAAGAAGTGGTAGCTGATTATTTTTGATAGCTATGAATCCTAAAGTATAACTACCATTGTTTCGTCAGGTGACTGCTCTGAGTCACTGTTTTTTTGTGCTCTTATCTGACATTTCAAGAATTTAACGATTTCAATAAATTATATTATTGTTCATCCATAAGTCACAATTAACATGAGTCCAATTGGATCAATGTATTATTATGAAAGCAATACACTGGCCTACCATCTGTTTGTTAGCCAAAAGTAACAATGTGATTTACAACTGCTACCTTCACAACTCTCTAGAAAGGCTTAATGAATTAACATTTCCTCTATATCCAGTGAAACTGTTATTCTGCTGTGATTGCATCACTAAGGCCACATAGCTAAAGCACGGTTATGACATGAGATGATGAGCATGACCACTGATTAGGAGAGGCAGAAAAGTCACAACCTACCATATGAACTCTGATATGATATGAAACCATTTAAACAAAAATCAACAGGAAGAAACTTCAGCAGACTTTCAAAATGATATAAAAACGCTGTTCTGCAATACATGGAACTGACAAACTACATTTAATACCATCCAGTGCTGATGACATTTTCTGGGATTGGTCACCAGAGTATATTGTGCCAAACATAAATGGTTGTATTATTATATCCTGGAATGACTTATATAACTACGTAAGGCTGCGCCATAGCTCAAGCGGTTAGTCGCTGGCTTCCCACTGTGGCAGCCCGGGTTTGGTCAAATAGGATTTGTGGTGGACAAAGTGGCATTGGGGTAGGTTTTCTCTGAGGACTTCGGTTTCCCCTGCCAATATTCATTTCATCAAATTCTCCATCATAATCACCCAGGGCAGGTACAATAGGCCAATCAGTGGCCGCAGTGCCAAGTGGACCCAACTGGACTCCCCCCTCCACTATATAACTACATATATCACACTGAAATTCTGTTCCACCATTCTCTCACTATAATCATGTTCCTGTTACAATCACATACCACTGATAGTAACTCAAAATATTGTTACATGACGCCTGAATGCCAGAAGTGTACAGTCAGGGAAGCACCACAGAGACGTCCATTGCTAGAGAGCAGCTTGGTAAAACACGTTTCTGTGACAAAGAATAGGCATGCAGTGATAAAGAAACTGTTAGTCGTGGTGATATACTTGGTTCTCCCTAAGTTATAAAGGGAGGACACATCAGAATGCTCAGTTAAGAGTTGAGTTGTGAGTTGTCATTGAGAGTTGAGTGTTCGGCTGTGGAGTGTTAACCAGCAGACAACAGAAGCCTAAGAAGTGACGATCGCAACCAAAAAGGAAGGACACATCACAGACACAGTACACACAGAAACGACTCCCACAGTGGACGAGTTTGAATGAAAACATATAGATGAATAATCTTAACAAGTTTTAGTATATACAAATTTTATTATAGTTGATGAATAATGTACTTTCTAAATAATTTTATGAAAGACACAAGATGGCAAACAATGTAATAGCTTAGCGTAAATAACGAACCTGAAGATGGCACTATGTTGCCAAAACATGTAGTAAGAAGCGACATATGAAATTGAATCTTAATGAAGATATAACACAATTTAGGAACTGGGATTATTGAGTTTCTGGAATTTTGCCCATTGTCTAGTATTCTGCAAGAACAGGATGTTTAGGAACTGGACCTGTTTTCATCCTCGGGTAAAAGGATGGGGAGGCACATACTCAGTTGGAGCTGATCTCTGTCACTGGATCAACGTTTCAGAATACTAGGTCCAGAAACTCAACCCTAACTGTAACATACCACCATTAAAACCCTTCAAAGCTGATTTTAGTAACTGACTTCTACAAACCACAACTTTCATATCTGTTATCAAACTTAAGCTAAATGAGACTTCTGATGGTTTAAATTTAAGAATTAAGCCATTATCCCAGTGAATCAAGGTCAAACTTCAAGGTAACAGAAAACAAAGCATGATTTATTCAAACATTAAGGTATTTCAAACAAAATTACAATTCTAGTATCATATATGAATACAGGTCTCACCAGAGCTTGAAAAATAAAGCTAAATTATATCTGCTAAACTTCAAAACTATTCACTAACCCATAGCCTTTGAAAACATTAATTTCTGACTGTATAAAAGTTTATAGCGTATCTGTTCTCAAACTATTTTAAATCAGCTGCTGTACTAATTTATGATAATTTAAGAAGTCACTGAAAGCACAGAATAGAACTAACACAAAAATACTGAATACTTGGTTAAAAAATCTTCACTTTTTAATTAAACTGTAAATGATTGGTGGGTCCTTATATTCCCACTGAACTGTGGAATCTAAAATTAGACTGCTTAAAAATTAAATACACACTTCCACTTCTCTTGATCGTACATAACGTATTTTCTTTCATGCAGTGTGATTATTTTTTTTTTCAAGCCCTGCATACAGCATCAGCAAGGGATGAAGTAACAAAGTTGGGCAGCTTTCTCTGAATTAAGGTATTAACATAACTGCAGAGTGTCTTCCAATGCAGAATACCTTTCATCTATTCCTTCTTCATTTCACTTTGTAATACATGAGGAGCAGCACAACTCATATAATGCTGGAAAAGTCTTTAACCTGAGGACTGATATCCTTCAGCTATCTTACTGTGGTTTTCTAAGTGGTTGGCCAAGAATTATGGCCCAGTAGTTACTTAACAATTCAGAGAAAAATTGAATGGGAACTGTTTTGAGAACCTGCAATCATATTCAGCATGGGTGTCGAAGCTGATCATTTCTATACATATAAAGATTCTCATCTAAGTATTTAAATTCAGGTTCTAAAATTTCAATTTCCTTTGTAGACAAGAGAAGTGTACTCTATTCATCACAAATATTTCATCGTAAAAATAGTCTATTTTTATCAGTGTTCAAATTTCAGTCACAATGAAGGGACAAAAGAACTAACGTTTTGAACAACCTTAGCCTTGAGCTTTTGAAGTAGACTTAAGTTTCTGGGTATTATGTAAAATCCCTGTATTCATAAAAACTTGCGATTTTGGAATTTATGTATTCCTGTCCTTGACACGAGATGTTACAGTGCATGTATGTATAACTGTTCACTTGCTTTAATATCAATTATCAATTTAAAAGTTACTTCCTTTCACTTGTATGCCTATAAAAGTTATGATTCCAGTTTTCTGGTATGAAATTTTTGTATTAATTTTTTTTTTTTGCTTCTTGTGTGAAGCTGCATCCTATTAATGATGTATTATCTTTTAAATTATAAATTCTTCTCAATGGGAAGAGAAAAGAATTAAAAGTCCTGAGGGCCAACATTTCTCATTTTCACTCATTTCTACAGGGTCCATAAGCCAATCAAATATCATTCAAATCTGAAAGGGATAGGTTGAAAGTTGCATTTTTTTAGTGTTAATTCGACATGAAATGACTGAGGATAAAATTTAAGCCCAGGTACTTATGGCTCAGCTGTATGCATTTCAGCCTAGTGACCGACTAACAAACGTATGATGACAAAATATGAATTTTGATTGTGTATTATCCATTTAGATCTGGCACTTCACTTGAAGACCTAACTTTATACCAATCTTGTTAAAACATCACAAGTGTCACAGACAAAAGTAATAGCCATAAAATAAATGTTTTTCTTTATTGCTAGTGGGGTGGAACTAAGTCCCTTGTACTGCAGCCACTTCTGGCCTATTGTACCAGCCCCAGATGATAGGTGAGGGTGATTGTGGAGTAACTGGTGGAATGAAGATTGGCAGGGGAAAGCGAAGTACTCGGAGAAAACCTGCCCCAGCGTCACTTTGTCTACCACAAATCCCACTTGACCAGACCCAGGATTGAACCTGGGCCACAGCGGTGGGAAGCCAGCAACTAACCGCCTGAGCTATGGCGCGAAAATATATGTGTTACATCACATACCATATTTTTTACACAAAAAGAGCCAGCTTCAAGGAATAAGATTAAAAACTGATTTGAACATGAAGGATGGCTGCTTGAACAAACATGACAAAGGGTTTGAACTCTTAAATGTTCAAGACATACAGAGTATGGTAACATGTGTGGAATCATATCCTTCAAATTTAGTGTGCGCTGGCAAGTGTGAATTCAAACCCATGTCACTTTTAAAGATTTTATAATTGATCACCCACTGGAGTGCAGCAAACCAATACAATGTTTCACAGAGAAAATGTAAATGTAGTTATATCGTACAAATTCCATCAGCTGGGTTAGTTAGGTAATAATGCATCCACCTCATTTAGGAAGCTATGGGTTCAAATCCCACCAAATTTTGGAGAACAAGATGCTTCAGACCCTAATAATGAGTACAGAGGTCCATCAATTGTGCATAATTTTCACAGTCTATTGCAATTTTCCCTGCCCATTTCACTTGAATTTCAGGATAACACACTCATAATAAAAAGTATAATAAACTCCTCTGACTTACTCGTAATTACAAATAAGCTGTATCCTTCCCAGCATCAGCCAGTTTTCCATAACCCTAATATTCAATGTTGCAATGGTTATTTCTTATGTATCAGTACGCCCAGCAGTGATCAATGAGTCTCACTCTTCTGTGACGTTCACCTATTATTCAAAGATTTAAATGGATGGTAATAATAATGAGCTACCCAAGGAATTTCAAGAGCTGCTTCAGTTGAAAACTGGAACAAAAAACAAAATAAGACTAAGGAAGCCAAATACATTTCACTATATATCACAAAGATGCAAAGCATGTTATAATGCATACTATATGAATGTCCAAATGTGTACATGAAGGGGAACAATGGCTAATGAACAACTGAATTATACACTCAGTTTCACTATTAATGAAACAAACATAAAGTATTCCTGTAAATAGCACGTGCACAAATATTGAATTTTCTTACCATTTAACATGGAAAAAAAATCATTAAAAAACTGACATACTTCCAACCATTTAAGATAACCAGTTGGATACATCCACACATAACAGTTAGTAAATTACAATAATTAAATTTGGAAAACTATCTGCAGAAATCACTGGATTATGTTTATATTTTTTATGCAAAAAAAAAATGTAGTACAAATGAGGTATGCCTATAGCAACATTCAAAATGTATCCCAGCGACCATGTTTTACAGTCTTGGGTATAACTGTTCACACACTGACACCCAGTACATGACCAAATGGGCCAATTTTACATATTGTGGCAAAGAAGTACAACAAATTACCAAGCTTCTTACGTGTAAAAACACGCAAATAAAAGTAGCCTTTCACACACAGAAAACAATACAAAACATAAGCACCATACACAAACAAATAGATACAACAATAGTGGCATTTAACAAATGAAATGCCTAGACTGCCCATTAAAGGGGAAACCCCACGAAAGGTACGTAAGTGAAAACAATCACACAAAATGCTCATACAAAAGTGATAGACACTTGACTAGTGGGAAAATACATACTAACTGAGCACATAAGTATATAAAAAGAAAACAGCATTCAAACACATAAAAAATAAATTACATATATTAATAATACAACTTCGCATATTGCAACAATAATGATAACTACACCACAGTGATATTTATAGGGCTAAATAAAACAACAAAAGTAACATTAAGGCAACTACCAAAATTCAAAATTTGTAAAATGCGACAATAATAAGAATTATAAACATATATTATAGTTATGTTCCCAAACAAATGTATTTTAATGTGAATGATGAAAATGTAATGACATTGGGATGTTTTAACATGGAAACTAATGCTGTGTAGTGGTTTCCGACAAGGGAACAATTGCCTGAGGGTGGCCAAGTAAGGCCAAAACATGTAGCTGTTGACTGTGATTTTAATGCCTTTTTAAATGAAGGACAGAGTGTAGACAGACTTGCATTGAAGATGGAAGTGAATGTGGAAAGTGATACATCAATGCAACACGATAGATGAAATACATTACTACAAAGTGGCTCAAAAAAAAAAAAAAAAAAAAAAAAAAGGGAAAAAAAAAAA